TTACAGAGGTATATTATGTCACACTTCACACTTCTCTAGTAAGTTTCGTCTGTGTGTGAAGACAGTAGCGCAAATCCATGAATGAGTGTTCCAAAGTGAAATAAACTACAACTTCATATATATACACACACACAGTATATAGTACCAGTCAAATGTTTGGACACACTAATGGGAAAGTGTCCAAACTTTTGACTGGTACTGTTCTTTAATATACACAAAGAATATCGGCCGATATATCGATATCGGCCTTTGTTCTACTCCCTAATATCGGTATCGTATCGGCCCCAAAAAAACCATATCGGTCGGGCTCTAATATATATATATATTTAACCCTCACGTTGCATTTCTCTCATTTTGACCCAGGGAGGATTTTCCCCGGAAAAGTTTGTGTTATGCTTGTAAAACTGCTGATACATTTATTGTTATGCTATATTATCACCAAATGTTGTCTTAAATCGTTTCATCAATTTGTTTTCTTTCAACTAGCACAGGTTTTGCATTTCTTTTTGGAACTGACTGATCATAGGTTTCACTGATCTGAGCTCATGCACTGCAGTTTTTGAGCGAACATTAACAAGATGATCCACAAATAATGCTTTCTTCACTCAAAAACTGAGGTGCATGAGCTCAAAACAATGAGGTCTATGATCAATCAGTTCCAAAAAGAAATACAAAGCCTTTGCTGATTGAAAGAAAGCAAGGTGATAAAAAAGTCCAAGAGTTGGTGATAATATGTGACCTTTGCTGGCTAAATGATGACAGATCACAATGAGCAATTTTTCAAAAATTAGATATTTTTATTCTCTATTACACTCATTTTGCCAGCAGAGCACGGGTCACATATAGCAGAATGAGAGATTTATCTAAAAGGCTGGTCTTTTTTGACCGGGAGCACCAAATTAGGTAAAGGATTTTCAGCCCAGTACAAGGGTTAAATGCTTATTAAATGTTTAGTTCAATTTTATCACAGACATGAGACCGGAATCTATATTGAAAACATTATGGACAGAAATGAAATAAAGTCTTCACAAATTCTCAAACATCTGTGCTTTTTTACATGCCACTGTAATATTATTATGAAACTATTTTGTTTGATGATGTTACATGCTTTTAATAGATTTTACGTAAAAAACTAAAACTGTAGTTGGTTACTTTATATGTCAAACATCTTAATTGATTGTCAGTAAGATTTTTTTTAAAAGAAAGAATTGCACTAAGGAACATTCTTAGCATTTATCTTAAAAACTTCTTAGCTTCTTTCTTAAAAAGATTTTCATGAATCCGGCCCCTGATTTACCCCCAAAGTCAAAAATCAGTATAATAGGATGCAAATGGCTGCAAATAGCAGGTTTTAAAGTTTACCTAATTTAGTCCAGAAATATGACAAATCCCAAAATAAAATTATTCTAAAACACTGTCACCGGCTATTTTCTGCCCTGGGGACTCCCAGTGGAAATTTACCATCATGCCCTTGGAAGGGTTTAACAGACTGATGCCTTTCTGGACAACTACAGGTTACACATACCGCACAAAAACACATTACACAAAAACATCTACACTTTCAGAGAAAAATGGAAAAGTGACAGATGGGAAACGGAGGGAAAGAGGAGAGGAGAGCGGCAGCATGTGCTGGTTGGTGAGGGATTGTTAGCTGGCATCTCTGTGCAAACATCAGGCCACGATAACATGATTTCTCTCTGTCTGTCTGCTTTCAGTGACGGGAGAAACCGATCTGCTTCACTCCTGTCTCATTATAACACCTGCCGAGTCTCACCTGAACTCTTTCATGCATTTTTTAAAGTCGGCATGAAATGAAAATGTAACCCTGTCTATCATCTAACCCTCATAATGCATTTTGGTCTGTTAGGACATGGATGAAATACTTCATTTCTACAAAATGCATTTTGTAAGCAAGTCATGACTAACAAAATATACATAGTTTTGAGGTTTTGAAGAGATATAACCATTAAAAAAAGCAACAGATTTTGCGTTCAGGTCCATTTTGAGTCAGGTATTAATTGAGGCGTTACACAATGTTATAGAGACTTTATTTGGGACTGAATTTTGTTAATAAACATGAAAAATTGATGAATTCTTTTCCACCTCAATGTGAAAGTTATGAAAGTAAAATTATTTT